GACTCAATGGCACCTAACAACAACAACAACATGAGAGCCAAAATATGACCTTGATTATGTCCCACCTGAATTTAGAGACCATCTGAAGAACAGATTTGAAAAAAGGCATTTGAACACCAATGACCGGAAAACAGACGAACCGTGGGGTGACATCAAGAACATCATAAATGAAGAAAGCAAAAGGTCATTAAAAAGACATGAAAGAAAGTAAAGACCAAAATCTATGAAAGAAGAGACTCTGAAACTCAGCCTTGAATGGAGAGTAGCTAAAGCGAATGGAAGAAATGACAAGATGAAAGAGCTGAAATGAAAATTTCAAAGAAGACAGTCATTTAATAAGGAAATGTACAAAGACCTGGAGTTACAAAACCAAAAGGGAAGAGCATGCTTGGCATTTCTCAAGCTGAAAGAACTGAGGAAAAAATTTAAGCCTGAAGTTGAAATACTGAAAGATTCTATGGACAAAATACTGAATGATGCAGGAAACATCAAAAGAAGATGGAAGGAATACACAGAGTCACCGTAACAAAAAGAACTGGCTGATATTCATCCATTTCAGGGGGTGGCATATGATCAAGAACCAATGGTACCAGAAGAACTAGATGGTGCCCAGCTACCACTGTCAACCACTCGGAGGGGGATCTATATAGGAGATCCTGGATAGAATGGGAGAACAGTGTGGAACAAAATTCAAAATCATGAAAAAAAAAAGACCAGGTTTGCTGGTCTGACAGAGCCTGGTGGAACCCCTGAGACTATGGCCCCTAGCTACACTTCAGGTCTGGAATTAAACCCACTCCTGTGGCTTCCAGCCAAACAAAAGACAGGCATATGAGCTGAACATTTACATTAGGTAGATTCACTCCCGGGAGAGATCAGTCATGGGAGAATAGAAGGGCTGTGTATGCACAGGGAGAGAGCTCAGGGGGCAGGAGTGCCTGGGAGAGAAGGACACAGGGAAGAGGTACCTATGGGGAGGAAGTGGGAGAAGAGCTGTTGAATTGTGGGAAATTGTAGTCAATGTCATGAGACAAAGTGTATGCGAACTGCTGTATGGAAGATGAATTTGCTCTGTAAACTTTCACCCAAATCACAATAAAATTAAAAAAAAAAAATGGTATTGACAGAAGTGGCGAAAAATCAGGCTCCAGGAATTGATGGAATAATCATTGAGATGTTTCAACAAACGGATGCCCCACTGGAGGCACTCACTCGGCTATGCCAAGAGATTTGGATGATAGCTACCTGGCCAACTGACTGGAAGAAATCCATATTTGTACCCATTCCAAAGAAAGGTGATCCCACAGAATGTGGAAATTATTGAGCAGTATCATTAATATCACACGCAAGTAAGATCTTACTGAAGACAATTCAAAAACGATTGCAATACTATATTGACAAGAGAACTTTCAGAAATGCAAGCTGGATTCAGAAGAAGACGTGGAACAAGCGATATCATAGCTGATGTCAGATGGATCTTGGCTCAAAGCAAAGAATACCAGAAAAACGTTTACTTGTATTTTATTGACTATGCAAAAGCATTTGATTGTGTGGATCATAACAAATTATGGATAACATTGAGACTAATGAGAATTCCAGAACACTTAATTACACTCATCAGGAACCTGTATATAGACCAGGAGGCTGTTGTTCAAACACAACAAGGGGACACCGCATGGTTTAAAATCAAGAAGGGAGTGTGTCAGGGTTGTATCCTCTCACCATACTTATTCAATCTGTATGCTGAGCAAATAATCTGAGAAGCTGGACTATGTGAAGAAGAACGTGCTCAGCAACTTCAACCATAAAATAAGGACATGACTCCAGGCTGCTGGGTGGGTGGATGGGACAACAGATGTGCACGTCTTCTGAAAACTGTAAGGTGCTGAGCTTGGTGGTCAGCATTCGGTGAAAACGCGGAGGCTCTGGGCCTCTGTCCCTGCAGGTTCCAGTGTAGAGAGGATACTATGAGGTGAACTCTCTTCTGTGGGCTTTTCTCCCTCTCCAGTCCCATGGACTGTGAGCTTAGGGAAGGTTCTGGATCTGACAGAGGCTCCCAGGCAGGAACACCCAGCCACCCCACTACGATGCACAGCCTCTCTGAGCTCTAAGCTGTGTACCTCCTGTATTCTCAAGAGGGAACAACGTATTGGTTGGCATGAACCACTGATGCCGAGACTAGACGTGAGCTTACAGGAACAAGTTCACGACCACACAGGAGAATCACCAAACGTCACAGCCAGAAGGCACGTTCAGTGTCACCTGGCCCAATCTCATCATGGAGGAAAATGGTTCTCCCTGCTTGCAATGAACGTTAACATTGCATGCCCTCTGGCCAGCCATGACAAAGCCCATGCTGGCCCTTTCCTGCACTGAGCTCAGCTCAGATTCAGAGAAGGTGGAGAACGTGCCCAGGACACGTGACAAGTCAGTGGACGGCCAGGTCCAGAACCTTCCAGGTCCTCTCCTACGCAAACACGAGCTCTCTCCCTCCAAACAAACCACCTTGTTTGCTCTTTGCACTCTGCCCATCCCCCACAGCTGTGAGGAGACCTGCTGTAGTCATAGCATCACCTGTTACTCCACTTTCTGGGTATGTCGCCTAGAGAACGGGACCCAGCCTCAGTTTAGGCTACACGATGCACACAGTAGTGCCCCCGGGTGCAGAGGCTTCCAGGGTGTTAGGGACTGGGTTTCGAACCCCTAAAATCTATGTTGGAATCCCAACCCCTATAGCTAAGGATGCAACCCTGTTCAGAAGGGCTGTCTTTGTGTCGTTCATGAGGTCCTATCACTGGAGAGTGTGTCCTAAACTTAACCGATTATAAGAAAGGAGAGATCGGACACAGACCCACGCACAAACTGGGGAAGACAGACGTCAGGTGACTGGGGGCAAGAACCAAGGCCAACGGCCAGGACCACCAGCCACGCCCCTAAGCATGCATCCAGTACCCATATGAATGCCACACCCCTGCCCTCCACCTCCAGGTACGGGGAGCCCTTGCTCCCTCCTGGGCTGAGGGTGTGGTATTCTCCAGAGGAAGCCCCTCACCTGCCCCCAAGCTTTAATCAGACTTCCCTTCCTCCCTCGCACCCCCAACAGACCCCCAGCATGCAGCACACACTTGGGGGCTGAGGCCAAGGGTGGCCGGTGCCAAAGGCTTACTTGGGTTTCTTAACGTCTGTCATCTTGGTGTGCTCCCCAAACTCCCGCTTCAGAAACTCCTCCAGAGGCCCCGACTCGTAGGGCCGCGAACCGCGGAACACCTCGTCCTTCATGCGAAAGTACACGCCACGCATGTAGGCCATGGACTTGCCTAGGAGACAGGAGTCAGCGTGGGGAGCAACACCCGACAGAGGGCCAGGGTACCAGGCGCTTCGGGGCCTTGCCTTGCAACTTGCCATGCAGGCAGCAATCCCCCAAGCCCTCAAGGCCCTGTGCTTATCCCTCTGTGGGGTGGAATATACAGACTGGAATCTGCCATTTTAACCACCCAAAGCAGGAGCAGTGACTACATTTACAATGATGGCAGCAACCATCAGCCCTATTTCTGAACCAGAAACTCTGCTCCCATCCAGCAATGTATTGTCTCAGTTTGCATCCCTTTCCTTAAAAAAGGGGGCCCTGAATTGTGTAAACTCCAGACCACATACACACATCCACATACACACATACCACATCCCTCCCTGTCTGTCCTGGAAGAGAAGTTAACAGCTCCGTTTTCTCTAGGGGCACAGACAGGGTCAAACAGGTGGGGTTATGAAGCGGCAAGGTCCCCTCACAGGCAGGAGAGGCTGGCTGCTGCCCTGGGAGGTAGAGGGGGCCTAGCCCGAGGCGTGCATGATGGAAGCGGCTGGGAGAACTTCAGGGCTGGAAAGGGCCGGGAAGGGGGCTCCTGCCCATGGGAAAGGAGCTCCTTGGAGTCTGAAGACAACTGTGGATGGGGGAAGAGATGTCCCCTGAGGAAGGAAGTGACCCTTTCCTGAGGAGGGGCGGGAATCTCTGCCCACACTGCCCCCTGAGGGCTGGAGGCACGGGTCTGAACCAGCTCTTCTCTCCGAGAAGGCAGGAATGATGAGCACACGGGGGGCGACCGAGGCCTGGGGAGGACCGAGTCTGCAGGAGGTGCCATCCCGCCAGCATAGTGGGGAGAGCGCTGGGTGTACAGACCGAGACATGGTCCTCTCGGGTCCTAGTTTCCCCAGCTGTAAGGGGAATATGATTCTCACCTCACAGGGCAGCGCTGAGAATCATCAAAACGAAGTGAAATGCTGTCAGCAAAGCGTTGTAGACCATAGTCTCCTGTGACTTGCAGACTGTGACCCCCTCTTCCCAGAGCCCCTGGGGATGCTGCTCTCCACAGCCTCCTGGGCTGGCTGTGCCCCACACATCTGCAGTGCCCTGGACTACTGGCCGGGGCGCTCCCCACGCTGCCCAGGAAACACCCAGAGCATGTCTGTCTCCCCCACCCAACCAGGGCCCCCTGACTCAGCTCTGCACCCCAGCACCTAGCACGGGCCTGGCCCACAGCACCCTGATGCCCCCAGAGAGCCCTCTCTGGTGCTTTCTGGGCAATGACAACCAGGATGCAGCCTTGGCAGGCTCCTTGGAGAGCCTGAAGTCCAGGCAGCACCGGCGGACCCATTAGGCAGGGGAGCTGAAGTCAAGGGTAATTCCTGCCTGGGTAGTGGCTGGGCCACCCTCACACTCAATCACGCAGCTCAAATGCCATGAAGGAGATCCCACTTGAGGCAAAACCTGTCTTACCCAGAACTCTGTACGGTCAGCACAGTGTCCACCCAGCTTTTGTAAACCAGAGTGGAAGCAGCCTGCGGCCTTGGGCAAGTTCTGGGCAGAGAGTCTGGGAACTGGGTTTCTCCTGAGCAGGCCCACTGGAGAGCAATGTGACTTTAGGTCAACCCCCTTTAGTCATCATTTCCCCAACGCATGGGTAAAATGAAGCAGGTGGGACAGGCCTCGGACACTCTGGGACTTGAGGCTCCTCTGTGCCGAGGCTACCACCCCATCTGCTACTGGGATGGTTTCCTTGCTTCCAGCAGGGGTCAAGGCCCTGGGGTGCCTGCCCTGCTGGGGTGTGGGGAGGAGAGCTGAGGCAACTGAGATACAAATACTTCACTGGGCACTGAGTTTATGTTAATGATGGTGGAATAATTTGGAAAAAGATAGTGAAAATGGCAGCATGGAGTCCCGAGGAGATGCAAACCGTTAAGCACTGGACTACTAGCAGCAAGGTTGGGAGTTCAAGCCCACCCAGAAGTACCTCAGAAGACAGGCCTGGCGACCTCTTGTGACAGGTCACAGCCTCGAAAACCCTGTGAACGGTTGGACGCTGCACACGGGGGTCACCGTGGGCTGAGATCAGCCCACAGCACCATCCCACCACCGACAGTGGTCGCACACCGTGAAAACGTAGTAAATGTCACCGACTCTTACGTGCACAAACGGTTGAACTGGCAAACGTTTTGGTGTGGATGTGGTCACCACAACTTAAAAAAAAAAAAAAAAACGCTTCTGACACTGAAAAGCCCAGCGGCTAGTTCTGGGCCCCGGGGCAGAAGTGGGACATCCAGCCGCAGCCTCCCTCCCGGTCCTTCCATTCCCCTCAGGCCCCCACTCTCCTCGCTGCAGGGCTTGGCTGATAGCCCTTCCCTACCGCGTGCTCTTTGATGCAAAGATCTGAAAGCTCTTTGAGGGCAGGTCTTGCCCCACCCTACCCTGCCCCGCTACTTGGGGGGCTGCCCTCACCATGCAAAATGGCCAGGGCCAGGATGCCCCCCGTGCTGGTCCCGGCCACCCAGTCAAAGAGGTCCTTGGTGGCGATGCCCGAGGCCTTCTCGATGGCGATGAGGAGCTGGATGATGACAAGTCCCTTCACACCCCCTCCGTCTAGGCAGAGCAGGCGGTCGTGGCTGCAGGGGCCGTGAGGGAGAGGAGAGGGGCCTGTTAGAGCTTCCATGCATCCACGATGCCAGCAGCACTTCACATTGTCCCCTCATTCAACAAGTGGCCCCGAGAGCATGGGGCCCTGGCAGACACCAGCAACAGTAGACAAGGCCTCGCCCTCACAGAGCTCACATGCTACTCGGGGCTCAGGGGAGTTGTGCTGAATTGAACTGTGCTCCCAATAGCGTCGTCCCAAGCCCTATACTGTGGATGCCATCACACTGGGGTACAGGGTTTTCTTTGTTATGTTAAGGAGGCCAATCACTCATGAGATACAGAAGGGTGTTAGGCACAGAAGCCAGGAGACCGATGGGCCGATGGATCGACAGACGCTGATGGGGGCGGATGCACCCCCAGGGCATATACAATACTGTGGTATGAGAAAAACATGGGGTGCACCCAGGGGAACTGGACTCTTCAGTGATGAGGGGCAAGGCCACAGGGTCTGGGTGCCCACCCCCCAGAGCAGAGGCTGCATGTGGTTATAGGGCTGGCACTGGGTCTAAGCCAGGATGGGGTCTGCCAAGTGGGAAGGGTGTGAGTTCAGAAGACGTGGGTGTGAGTCTGCGCCTGACGCTCACTCTGTGTAACCTCAAGCAGGTCACCTAACCTCTTGGGACCTCAGGTTGTGCATCCTAGGAAGGCTGCTAGGAGCACAGGGTGGTACAATATGGAGAACATACACACTGTTCATGAAAGGAGGCAGGTCCAGGTGACCTGCCGGGCCAGCTGGCACAACTCTGAGAGCCAGGGACTGGGCCTCAAGGTCAGGGCCTTGGGCTTCTCTGTTTGTGCCTTTAACCCACACCCGCCCCCTGGGATGGGCCTGTGGGGGGGTAAAGCAGGGGCTTGGGAAGCCAGGCCACCCCACTAGTTCCATGGGGGTGTAGGCCGAGGAAGGAGGTTGGGGTCAGGGGAGGCAGGTGTAGGCTTGCAGCAGTATTAACATCCCCCCGAAAGGGGACTGGCCCTCACCCCCTCCCCAGACCACAACAAGACTGCAGCCAGACCTGGCCAGAGCTGTACCAGCCCACCACGGATTCACCACCTGAGCTGCCCGGTCACTGGTGAAAGGGCAGACCATGCACCTTATGACTCACGCTGGGAACCACAGAGGGGGTGTGTGACCTCACAGGCTGTGGAGAGGGCTGGAGGAAGCCCCAGACCCATGGTGGGGCACCCATCCCTTGTCCCACCTACCTGCGCTTCTCGTCCCGCAGGGAGCTCAGGATGAAGGTGGGCTTCCGGCCCCGGGAGATGTGCGTGAGGTCTTGCAGCTCTGCGGAGCACAGGGCAGGCAGTGCTGGGCTGGGGCCCCGACCCCGCCAGCCCACCAGCCAATGCGGGGCTATGCCCCCCACCCCACTGGCCAGTGAAGGCTCTTTGGGAACAGAGAGCTGCAGCCCCATGGGAAACGCACTGCTCTGGGAGGGGCCTCCACCCTGCCCAATGAGCTCCCAGGATTCCTCTCAAAGTCTTCCTTCTGAACTGGAAGCAAACCCAGCCCACGTGTTCCATGTTCACAATTCACATGTTCCTCACACATCCGAGCCGATCCTGCGCAGGGTAAGAATCATTCTCTCAATTTACAGCTGAGATGTCAAGAGACTACAGGACTTGTCCAAGGTCATTCAGCCACAGGGCAGGGTCAAGACACTCCTCAGAGTTTAACTTCATGAATGAAGAGGGGGACGCTAACTACTCTTCAGACACCCCTCATCCTGATCCCAGGTGTCCCAGATTGGATCCACCCATCCACTCTGCCCAGTTCCCGTGCCCTGCCCGCCGCCCCAGCCAGTAGCCCCACACCCACTTCATTTGGCCCACCCCTCCTGACAAGCAGCCCAGCCCTCAGGTGCCTGGTGCGGCGGTGCTACTGATTCTGACATTAGCAGGCCCTCTCTGCAGTGAGTGCAGAGTCTAGAAGCAGCAAAGCAGTGAGCTCCCCCTTCCCAGGGCAGTGGCTGGAGCAGCGGGGAGACAGGCCGGGGCTCGGCGTGTAGCACTGACAGCTGGGGAGGATGCTGGGGGGGTGCTCGTGTCTGGGATGCAGCTGAGAAAGAGGAACAGCGGGAAGAAGGCCAACAGCTAACCCAGGGCCCTGAGGCTGCTCTGCCCAGGGCGTTACCCACCAGACGCCACGCCCAGGCCCACCATCCAGCCTGACATGGGTGGGTGGCTGCTGGCCTGTAAGTGAGATAAAAACGGGAGATGGTGGAGGCAGTTCCTAGGGGGCTGGGCTGGGGGAGCCCAGGGTGGACCAGGAGGACTAGCTCCAGACTGCGTTGGGCTATCCTGACAGGGATGCTGGTGTCTGCCTCCCCAGCAATAACAGAAAGCCTTGCTTCCTGAGGATTGGTTCCTGACTGCCCCATTCAAGGGACCTGACACGGAGCGGGGCCACTGGGGGGAGCCAGCCCACAGCAACAGCAGGAAAGGGGGCTGTCTCCTCGGGGCTGTCTCCCTGGGCAGCAAAGGGGGCATCAGGGCAGATGCTGCTGAGAGCCTGTGCCAGCCATCCAGTGGCCAGCAAGCGGGCACTCAGGCCTCAGGTCAACAGACCACACAGTGTGTCAGAACCCACACGCCGTTCAAGCAAGAGGGCCACATGCTCTGGACCCCAAGCTGCACCCCTCATGGCCCACACTGAGCTCCCGAGGGCAGGGAGAAACCTTGAGGGCATTTGCTCAGGGGTGCCGCAGAGAATGCCCTGACCTGAGACCCAAGTTCAGGGTGTTGGGGGCAATGGACACTGCAGACCTCTGGTGGCTGGCTGCCCTACAAGGCTGACAAGTTCCACCCCATCCTCCCTGCACACCTTCACCCCATTCTTTCCAGTTGATGCTGCTGGGAGCCCAGGGCCTGAGAGCCAGGCAGAGAGGAGGAGGAGGGAGGTAGAGTGGCCTACCTAGGTTGCTTAGGCTGACTGACGGGGGCTGAGCTCTTTCCAGGGAGAAGATGGGGTGCTGCGATGCTGTGGGGCCCTGCTCCACGCAGACCCCTGGGATGAGTGGGAAGCTGTAGTCAGCCCCTATGGTTCTCAGCAGAGCTAAAAGCATCTTCCTGGTGACAACTTGTCATGGTTTTGGGGGGTGGGGGAGATCGCACAGGGTCAGAAATGATGTCCACATGCATGTGAGTGACCCTTCCTTTCTACACACGGTCCCCTCTCCCATTTACCAGGTCACCCAGGCACGTAGGGACCCGGGGGCCCTAAAACCCTGACCCCGTCCTGACGGAGTATGCAGACCCTCATGTGTCACATCCCGAGCAGCCTCCTGGGGCCAGGGAAGGGCTAGGGCCACCATGGAATATGGAAAAGGGGTCAGTCTCGTCCTGGCCGGTTATTTGAGAAAAGCCCCTTTTGCCCATCTCCTCTGGCCGAGATAGCATGCGCTCCTCCAAGTGTTGAACACTTGAGAAGCGTTGAACACTTCTCAAGGTTGCTGAGTGGACAGTCCCTTTCAGAGTTCTAGAGAGGCTTACTGGTCAGCTGGTGGGTGTTCACCCCTATTTAACAGATGGGGTAACTGGAAGGATGCCACACCCACACGAGAGGGAGCATCCACAGGAATTCCACAGCTCCCTAAAGCCCCATGGGAGGCTGCCAGTCTCCTGGTGAGGGGATCTGCTTTTTCTTGCTCTGAAGCCAAGGCTCACTGTGTGAGCAAACAGCACATGCACACGAGCTGTGTACACATGGGCATGCAAAGGAGCCAAGTCCATGCAGATACGCACGAGCTGCATGCACGCAGGCCGGGCAGTGCAGCACAGGCGCCCACCCCATGGCTGGACTTGCCCGTGGCCCCTCCCGTGAGTCTCCCAGGTGGAGCACAGGGTGCTGTTGCTGCCTGCCCCGCCCCAGACCGGCTGGGAGTCCAGGCACCCTGAGCGGAGACAAGGGACTGCACAAAGGAAGACAAGGCTTGGCAGGCCCCTTGGTGAACTTCCTCTACTGCTCCTGGGAGAAGGAAGCTCCCCCATGAGCCTTCCAGGCGCTCCCAGCCGCTCGCTCAGTGCAGGCCGCAGCAGGTGGGGATGAGGCTGACACTCTGGCACCTGACGCTAGGCCTCCCCTCCTCCCGTCCCTGCACCCCACCCCCGCCCTCACCCAATTCAGTCCCAGTGCAGAGCACATACGTTTGCTGATCCTGGAGGCAATGAATGCAGGAGTCTCCCCAAGGTTGTTTGGGGTGTCCACCTCTGCTCCAAAGACAATGAGGGCCTTAATCATCTCCACATTGTCTTTCTGTTGGGAACAAAATGAGGAAAATGCAACATGGCTCAGGGAAGTGAAGAGAAAGGACCCCTGGCCGTCTCCACCCTACCCAGCAAGGGACGCTGAAGCCCTTTTTACTGCAAACCCAGCTGACCTGGTGTTCCAGAGTCTGCATCTGAAGCTCTGACAAACAGACTCAAAAGTATCCAGAGAGAGGGCCCAGGAGCCCAGGCAGAAACCGCACCGCACCCCCAGCCCAGCCTCGCCAGCTCCCACTCGCAGGAAGCAATGCCTCTCTGACCCCACCCCAGGGGCCACAGAGACACTGAAAGGGTAGCTGCTGATGGCTTCCAGGAGTAGCAGGGAGAGGGGGAGCGAGGAACGGAAGGCTCCCCTGCCCTTCCAGAATGCCACTCCGAACAGGGTAGCCAGGCACTGTTGGCAGCCCTCAACCCAGCTCTTCTCCACATTTAAACACTCGGAGGCTGGGCTGGGGCAGGACAAACCAATGGTGTGGCCACCTGGGGACCTCAGCTCTAGTCTTGTCACCTCCCTTCTCTTGGGCCCCACTTCCTTGCCTACAGAATGAAGGGTGTGTCTAGACTGGGGTTTTCCAAACAGTTCTTCAGGTGCCCTTAGGACTTCTACAGGCACAGACAAGTAAGAGTCCTCTCATCACTGTTGTTCGTTGCCGTTACGTTAACTGACTGATGGTGAGCCCGTGTGCAGAGCTATGACCACTCCACTGGGTATCCTTTCAGAAGCAGACTGCCAGGCCTGTCCTCCGCAGCACCTCTAAGTGGGTTTGAACAGCCAACCTTTAGGCAGCAGCCCAGCGCTTAACCACTCGTGCCACCTGGGGCCTCTTACCTTAATCATTCACTACACGTTTACTTCTTGGTTACCTCTGATTTATGGCACTGGTTTCCCACTGCAGGTGGTGATGATAATACTTCCTTCAAAACCTATTTCAGTGTGTTTGAAAATAAGGCAACTGAAGGAAATTATCAAGCACATAACTGTCAAGGTGGTTCATGACAAGACACCGTGAGGACAGCATGCACGTGACAGGCATGGTAACCAGAACTGCTCCAGCATTCTCAAAGTGAGGGCCCTGGGCCCCTGGGAGGCTGAGGTACTTCCAGAGGGTCTGTGAGGCCAAGATTATTTTCATAAAAATACCAAGATGTCATTAGTCTTGTGTACTGCACTGGTACTTACACTGATAAAGCAAAGAAGTGGTGGATAAAAGCTGACACCTTACCACAAATCAAGACTGTGGCTTCAAAGCTAGTATTTATCATGGTTTTGTTCAGCACATATACTAACAGTGGGAAAAACAAACAAACAAACAAAAACCCTAGTACCACTTAAGGATACATTTAAAACCAAAACCAGAATGTCTTAATGACCCAAACCCACTGCTGTCTAGTCCATTCTGACTCATATAGACCCTACAGGACAGAGTACAACTGCCCCATATGGTTTCCAAGGCTGTAAATCTTTACAGAAGCAGGCTGCCACACCTTTCTCCCATGGAACGGCTGGTGGGTTCGAACAGCCGATCTTTCGGTTAGCAGCTGAGTGCTTTAACCACAGTACCACATACAAATATCTTTTTATTATTCTGTGCCATAAAATGGCATAAAGCAGCATTTCTGCAGTGCATCAAGGCAGGGCGGCTGTCTTGAGGACAGGGACTCATACTGCTGTTTGAGCTGTGAGATCAACGAACTGCCTTTTTATCACGGAGCATTGTTTTCACTTGAATGACTAACTGACAGACACTACCATTATTCTCAGAAATGAACTCAGGGAGTCTCTCACATTAAGAATAACAACTAATAGTAATTTCTGCCAATGATGAAAGTCAAGTTTTCCAGCAAAAATTAGAATTTCAGCAAATTTCTGCATGCCACCCTGGGCTTGAAAGCATCCTGGTATTCAAAAACGTTTCTGATGAGATCGGTGGTAATAGTGACAAATGTGAGAGTTTCTTACACTGTACAATAAGATGAGGACTTTCGGGGTGGCACAGACGGTTAAGCGCTTGGCTACTAACTGAAAGGTTGGTGCTTCAAACCCAGAGGCACCTCTGAAGAGAGGCCTGCAGTGTGCTTCTGAAGACCACAGCCAGGCCAACTGTGGAGCACAGTTCGACTCTGAGCCACACGAGCGCTGCTATGAATGTGAGTCCAGCTGGATGGCAACTGGTTTGGTTTTGGGTTTACAAAAAAAATGGGTTGACATTTAGAAGTTGTGTAAAATCAGAAAACCGTTATTTTCCAAGATGGTACAAGGTCATGCGAGGGCAGAAGATCCACGCAAGGAGCACACATGACGTGGACTTAATGTCCCAAAGCACCTGAGTCACCGGGCTGGGGTCAGAGTTCAAAGGTAACCAACTTTCCAGACTACCTGCCAAGGTTCGGTGCGGTCTCAAACAACGGTCACAGTGATGTGAAAAGGCTATTAAAACACTCCTCTCTTCCCAACACATCCACATGAGCACACACTTGCTTCATATTCAACCAAAGAATATACTGCAAGGTGCTAAATGTGGAAGATAGGAGATTCCCCAGGTCTGTAGTGAAACCAGCTTTAAGAAGATTTGCAGTGCCAGACAATGCCACTCTTCTCATTTAATTTTTTCTTTTTTTTGGATTGGGAAAATAAAGTTATATTTTTAACGTTATCATGTCTTTGGTTTATTACTTTCAAATGAATTCATACATGTTTCTAAAATTTCTCACATGATAAATATAGACAGAATTCCACATAAACAAAAATTCTGAGGGATCCCCAGTAATTTAGCAGAGTCTTAAGGGACTAAATGGACCAAGGCACTGAGGACCGATCAACTAGATAATCTAAGGCCCATTCAGGGCTAAAAATGGCCATGGGTTTATTTCTAGTTTCAGCTTCCTCGGCAACAACGTCTCTTCTGTCGTTATGACCTTTTGTATAAAACAGAACATCTGTGAATTTGTCCCAAGTCTACTTCTTGTGGAGTTCCAGAGTCTCTCCCATTGTCACCCTGAGACATTTTAAACAGCTCACATGCAGCCGGTATTGCTAACAGCATACATGCACACACTGTCTCTTACACAGTAAAGGTGGTGTAAACAGGTAACGTGCTCAGCTGCTACTGAAAAGTTGCAGGCTCCAGTTTCCCCAGAGGTGCCTTGGAAGAAAGACCTGGTAATCTACTTCCAAAAACTCAGCTGTTGAAACCCTATGGCGTACAGCTCTGCTCAGACACCCATGCCAGCACCAGGGGTCAGAGTCAGCTAGCTGGCAGCTGGTTGTTTTTTACCCTCACATATAATACGTGTGTGCTATAACCCCCCAGCAAGACTTCAGAAGTTTTAAGGGCTGGAGAGATGTTCTGAAATAAACCAAAAAACTTGACAAAACCCTCCCACGGGTTACTGAGATGTGTGAGCAGGTCCTGCCTTCAGAGAGCTTACAGTCTGCCAGATGGCTGGATTCCAGAAAGGGGACTGGCATTTGTAGGACGCCTGCCCTGTGCCAGGTACTTTACGGGTGTCACGTGGACAGTCCTCACAGCCTTGTCAAGTGCCTACCATGTAATCCTCCCAACAACCCTGCCAGGTACATACTGATACCTCTGTCCTCTAGATAAGGAAACTAAGACTTACATAGGTGACATGCTTGCCCAAGGCCACAGGCAGCCAGAGCTGTACTTTTTCCTTCCCACCAGGCAAGTGCCAAATGAGGGGGGGGCACAGGAGTTAAAGGTAACGGGGCTCAGAGGAAGGAGATGTTATTTGGGGCTGAGAGGGCACAGGAGGGGACATGGAAGGCTTCCTGGAGGAAGAGGAAGGCTCTGAGTGGAGCCTCACAAGGCAAGATGATCCCAAGCAGCCCAGGAAAGGAGGAGGGGCACTATAGAAGGGGAGCTCCTCCCTGCCCCCCCACTGCAGGAAGGGAGCACAGGGCCGGTGCACGAGACACAGGGCGTGGGCTCACCGACATGGCCAGGTGCAGCGGGGTGTTGCCGTGTTCCCCACGGGCATTGGCTTTGGCCCCGTAGGTCAGCAACACCATGACACACTCGAAGCGGTTGCGCATCACAGCCACGTGTAGGGCTGTGTTCCCTGCCGAGCTGGTGCTGTTCACGTCGCAGCCCCGCTTCAACAGCATGCGGGCCATCTGCGGGAGACACGTGGGCCCAGGGCCCATCAGGGGGCACTCGGGGAGCAGCGTGGCCTGCTGCACCGGTGGCACCAGGCACTTCCCCCTCCTCCCGCATAGGCCTCCGGGGACTGGGCCTCTGGAAAGCTCTAGCAACAGGAAGAACCCAAGTGCAGGCCCCAACCCTAGGGGTAGCTCTGGACCTTGGCTCCCACACCCTCAGCATCCCAGGAACCAGGGACAAAAAGCAGGCGATGTGCCAACTACTCTAAGGGGCTTCCAGGTCCTGTCCCTCCCTGCAGATTCCACTGAGGCCTGTCCCAGAATTGCCCCACTCCCTGTGTCACTACCATGAACCCCATCTGCAAAGGCATCATCCATTTCGAGAGTCTCCCAACACCTCCTCGCTCCCCCAGCAGCCCCAGAGAGTTTGGCTCAGGAAAAAGAGCTGGGGCTTTGGAGACAGACAGGCCTGAGCCCCAACCCTGCCCCACCTCATCCCAGTTACAAGCTCAGCTGGTCCCTGCACCCTCTGCACCTCAGTATTCCCTTCTGTAAAAACAGGAATGTGAGTCCCAACCTCTCCGGGTGTGGTAACAATGAATGATGACATCCGCACAAAGAGCCTGACTCGGCATCTAACTCCTGGTGCACAGAGGTGCTCGGCAGAGGCACGCTCCTGCCTCTGGGCCTGTTGCATTTAAGAGCAGGCCATGAACCACCGTGCTGCACTTCCTGGCAGGAGGAGCCTCTAGAGACCTCCATCCTTACAGGGGGATGGAGCACTATTCAGGGAAAGACTCCAGGAGAGATGCCCAGTGTGGTGGTTCAGTTTGTGTGTCAACCTGGCTGGGCCTGGGTGAGTGGCTGGGCAGCTGGGTATAGTATTCCCCATGATGAGACTGGTAATCAAGT